GGGCTGGCTGGCATGTGGTGCTGGGGGATTGAACCGCAGTCCCTGATGCTTTGCCAAGCTAGTTCCAAGTAGGTGCTTTAGACCACTGAGCCATCTCTCCAGCCCCACCAGCCTCCACTTCAGCCCAACTTACCTCTTGGGTGATCTGAGCAGATTCTAGCCATGATCTCGGTCACTTTTGTGGCTAAGGGCATTATTAGGCACCAAGGAGTCCTGTTCAGTCCAACCTCATGCCTGCTCTGGATGTTTCTTCCTCTCCTAGGTCTCCCTAACCCGACAAAAGGAGATCTCCATCCCATGGGACCACAGCAACCACCAAGATGCTGTCTGTCACCAGTCACCCTCCTCAGCACCCAGGCAGGTCAAGTGGTCTTCTCAGGCCAGCTGAGCACTGAGGGGCGGGCAGTAGGCCGGGATGTTGGTGCTGAGCACACTGAGCTCCCTGTTCTCTCACAGGCCTCCTGACTCACTGCATTTATGCAGAGACCCCTTAAGCCGAACCCACCGATCTTCTACCCTGAGGCGGCGATCAAGGATAAGCCCTGGCCAGGAAAGCAGTCCTTCACCAAAGGTGGACCGGACCCCGCAACCCACCCTGGTGGTGTTGCTGGAAGATATTGGTGCTCCCAGGCCCCCAGCAGAGGTATAAAAACAGAGTCGAGGCTGTCAGTGGTCCAACTAGAACAAGTACACCAGTGAGGTAGAAGACACAGTAGGAAGCCTGAACTGGGTAGATTTCTCTCAGGACAGGACGACAGCACTGTAGGTGGCAGACACTGCCCGAGCAAAGACTATATAAAAAAGTCTTTGGTGTGAACCCAAGGGGGTTGTCTGGGGCCTGAAAGAATCAGAACATGGCGAGCTAGGAAGGCCAAAGAGGGCTTCCTTGCCTCTCCACAAATATCCCATGTTTACATCCAGGGCTTCGTCGATGAGAGCCCCAACTGCATCATCCCAGCACAGAGGTGAGAGATGGGGAGGGGTTATCACAGTGTTTTTGCCACAGCCATCACCCAGGTAGCTAGAGCTAAGGGCCTCAGGATGTCCTCACCATGTCTTCCTCGTAGCTCCTTCAGAGGACTTAGGGATAGGGGAGGTGTCGGCCTCGGGGATCTGACCCTGGAGGCCCCTCCAGCCTTTACCTTGTTCCTCCATCCCAGAGCTGAGCTTGTGACGATGATTCACCAGTCAGGACCTGATCCCCCATTCCAGCCACGCACCCTGCCTGCAGACCATCTGGACAGCCCAACCCCAGGTAAAACTCAAAAGGGTGAGACTTGGCGTCTAGAAAGCCCTGGTTGAGGTTTTTGTTTTGTTTTGTTTGCTAGAGTCCAGCTACGTAGCCCACACCGGCCTTTAACTGACAGAGGTTGTCCTGCCTCTGCCTCCCAAGTGCTGGTTCACAGGCATGCACCAGCATAAAGCTCCTAGTTGAAATTGTGTCAGGGCCAGGGAGATGGCTCAGTGCAATAAGCGCTTCCCTGGCAAGCATAGGGGCCTGAGTTCAATACCTTGATCCACCAAAAAAAAGAAAGAAATTGTGTCAGATGCAGAAATTGGAATTTAAGACTGTCAAGGCCAGAGGTTCAACTCCTAACTAGGATTTATGTTTTAGGAGTAGGCTTATTCTTTTTTTTTTGGTGGAACTGGGGATTGAACTCAGATCCTTGCGTTTGCCAGTCAAGCGCTTATCTTACTGAGCCATCTCCCCAGCCCCAAGAGTAGGCTTATTCTTTTTTTTTATTTTTTATTTTTTATTTTTTTATTTTTTATTTTTTTTTAGGCTTATTCTTATGTGGACAAAGTTTAGTGTTCAGGGGAGGGACTTAGATGCCTGCACTTGAGGAAAACCCAGCTGTGACACTCTCCTTTCCTCAGCCCCAGATCCCGTTCTGGAGCCCCCATCAACCCCACCACCATCCAGCCTTCTACGCCCCCGCCTCAGTCCCTGGGGCTTGGCTCCCCTCTTCCGTTCTGTGCGCTCCAAGCTGGAGAGTTTCGCTGACATCTTCCTCACACCCAACAAAACTCCAGAGCCTCCACCTCCGTCATCCCCCATGAAGCTGGAGTTAAAGATTGCCATCTCAGAGGCTGAGCAGTGCAGGGCTGCCGAAGCAACAACATCCATCAGCCCCCGGCCCCCTATCCGCCAATGGCGGGCTCAGCAGCACAGTATCCCTACCCCTCTCTCTAAACTCTCTCTGGGCCGAAGTCACTCCTGCCCTGATCTGGGGCCCCCTGGGCCAGGCACCTGCACCTGGCCCCCTTCTCCACCCCAGCCAAGCCGGCCACGCCCACGACGGCACACTGTGGGCGGTGGGGAGATGGCCCGTGCCCCACCACCTCCTCTGCCCTGTCTCCGGAAAGAGGTCTTCCCTCTTGGGGGAGTAGGAGCCTCCGCTTCTCGAGCCACATCTTGCGCGTCCACTGCATCTACTTCCTCCTTCTCTGAACCAGCAGAACCCAGGTAGAGGTCAGAATGAACCCTCCTTGAAGCCCTGGTCCCAGCAGAGCCTGGCTTCCGTCCCTCAGTATGCAGTGGGCAGGAGATGGAGATACTGCTGTCAATCCTGTTTGCCACCCAGCATCCTTTTCTGCAGGTTGGGCTCAACCAAGGGGAAGGAGACCAGGGCCTCAGAAGACCAGGTGCTTTCAGACCCTGAGACCAAGGTAGGAGCACAGGTGAAGGGGAGGAGACCCGGACCCTGAGCCAATGACATTCTTCCATTTTGCCATTTTTTTGCAGACTATAGGAAAAGTTTCCCGATTCAGGATACGCAGAACACCCAACCGTTCTCAACTAAATCTTACGCCAATGGGGCTGCCCCGACCAATCAGGTGAGGAGCTCACTAGGTAGGGTGCTGCCTTGACCAGACAGGTGGGGCTCGTATCTCCCAAGTGGGGCTTTATCTCCTCTCAGTCTAGCCAGGAGATTTAATCTGATGTGGCTTGTGTTTCGAACTCCCCATCTGCCTCCAACAGCACACCTGGCATCTCCTGGCATGCCCCAGAAACTAAGATATAGCCTGGGCTTTCCCTGTCTATCCCTTCAAGCTCCGCTACCCTGAGGTTTCTCAGTGGCATCTGTTCTTTGCTTCCAGATTGAACAAGAAGGAGTTCAGCTTGGAAGAAATTTATACCAACAAGAATTATCAGTCACCCACAACCAGGAGGTGAGAAAGTTTGAAGCTCAAGGGTGGTAGAGGAAGGCTACAACCAGGGAACATGTTGGGTAACAGTGCCTCTTCCTGCCTGGCCCAGGACCTTTGAGACCATCTTTGAGGAACCACGGGAGCGCAATGGGACTCTGATTTTCACCAGCTCCAGGAAGCTCCGTCGGGCTGTAGAATTTCGAGACAGCAGCCTTCCTCGATCCCGTCGGCCATCCCGTGGAGTCAGGGCTACCACTGGCAGGACTGTTACTCCCAACCTGGCACCCAGCCCAGATGTGGGCCCTCTGCTGCAGAAGCGGCTGGAGGAACTAGATGCCTTGCTCCTGGAGGAGGAAAAAGGGGATGGGGAGCTGCTCCATCAGTCCTAAGAACTCCGGCCGTTTTTCCGTCCACCTCCTAGAGGCAGCTGAAACCTCTGAGGCAGTTATATTTTTTTCTTTATATTTCTAGTAAAATTTTCAATGTTTCTGATTTGTTTGTCTCTAACTCAATGTGAGACTGGCCGTACTGCCTGATGTTCATCTGCCGCACAGGTCTGGGAAAAGGACGGGTGCCAGGGAACATGAAAGAAGGGTATTGGGGATGGGGAAGAAAATGGTTATTGGAAATTCTCAATTTGAGAATTCTCCTTTGCGGAAGGATATTTATGAAAAGCTCCCGGTGAGGGTCCTCCTGAAAAGGGCACAGGCTGGCATGGTGTCACGGTGCCTGTAATCCCAGCTACTTGGGGAGGCTTAGGCAAGCGGATCACAAGTGTGAGCCCAGAGTGAGTGGTTTAACAAGACCCTGTCATAAAATAAGAAAGTCTGGGGATGTGCGTAGCTCAGTAGCCCCTGAATTCAGTGCCCTGTATCACAGAAAGAAAAATAAATAAAGACGGAAAGGCTCAAAGTACACCATGGCCTTGGTGAAGACCTGCTGGATTCAAGAGCTAAACGCAAGCCGCCGTAATTCCTCACCTAGGACGACGGATGCACTTGGGAGAGCCGTTGCCTGTGAGCGCGCCATGCGGTGCCCACAATAAAACAGCAAGGCAGGCAAGGAAAGCAGATCTGGTGGTGACCAGAGCAGACTCTAAGGGGAGTGAACGGGAATTGTTTCCAAATGAATGTGTGAGCGCGTGCATGGCGAACAAGTGCAAGGTGTTTTTGTACGTGGTACCGCTCCGAGCGCGGAGGCCGGCGCTGGGAAAGTAACAGGTAACGGACGCCGCTGCGCCCGGTTAGGGAGCGGGCACCGTACGGCGGAGGGGACTGGGGGGATCGTCATGCGCGTGCGCGAAACGCCGCCGAGCAGCGGAAAGGAGACGTGGTGCCACAGGACTTTTCGCAGCCGCGCGCCACCTAGTGGTCAACTGTCCTCTAAAACCGGCATCACATCCAAACCCCTAGTCAGCTCCAGTCGACGCCATCAGAAGCGGGCCAATTAACGAAGAGCAGGAAGAGGCGAGGTCACGTGGGACAGGACTGCAAACACCTACTTCTAATCAGTCGAGTCACAAGACTTGAGAAAGGGCGGGAGTAATGACGTAACCCAATCAAAGATTTGGGGGCGGTTACCTATTTCTCCCCTCCCCAAAGTTTGACTCCGCCCTTCACTTTGACGTATAGCACTTCCTGCCCTATCAACGACTGAGCCTGCAGCGGCCCGGAGGAAGGGGGCGGAGAGTGGGAGGAGGCAGCGAGAGGAAGGAGGCGTAGGCCGAGGAGGAAGAGGGAGGAGGGGTAGGAGAGTCCAGGCGGAGAAGAGGCCCAAGACTCCAAAGGAGACGACGGGCGGTTGTGCTGGAGTTCTTTCGGTACCCAACGGCTGTTCCGGATCCCTTAAGGCACAAGTCAAGGGAAAAGCAGGAAGAGACTTTTATGTCGGCGGACAGAGAAGCTTTACCCGTCACCGTTGCCTCACATCCGGGGCTTTGGAGGGCCGGCCCCCGCAGCCCCGCCCCCCTTCGTGCCTTTCATGGCGACCGGAGGCGGAGGCTGGTGTAGCTAGGCTTGGAGGAAGCCCCTTTAAATCTTCTTAAAGGGGTGGTCGTCGCACTCGGCCGATTCTGACGCCTGCCTTAAAGGGGAAGCCGTCGAACAGAAGCTGACAAATTGAAAACTGGACTGTTGGGAGAGTTGGAGCGAGTGGGATTTCCCACCTCTTTTCCCCGCCCACGCTACAAGTCCTTTAAATTCGGCTTAAAGGGGAAGTGGCTGCTTGTGGAGGACTAGAAACTTAACTCGAGAGTCCTTAAAGGGACGGCTTGCTGTTTGAAGGCTTCTGGGCTCCTTAAAGGGGCGGCCTCTTTTAACCGGAGGACTTGAGACACTTTAAAGGGGAGGTTTGCGTTTCAGGTCGAGCTTTCGGCCCCTTTTAAAGGGGTGGCCCTTCCTCTTCCTCGGGGAGACTTGCCTCGACCCCTGGCAGGGGGCGGCTACCGCACTAGGCCGACCGGACACATTCGGGTCGCCTTAAAGGGGCCGGGGGCTGGACAACTTGAGGCCTCATCTTAAAGGGACGGCCGCCCCGTTTTCGCCGTCGCGGCCCCGCCGGCCCCACAGGGGGGGGCCCTCGGGCTTGTCGCCCCGGGGGCGGCGCCGGCTCTCCAGGCCTTGGCCTTGGGGCAAGCTCAGGGCCAGCGGATCTTGCTCTAAAGGGGAAGCCGTGGCCTTCCCGTCTCTGTGCGGTCGGCAGCGCCGCGCCTGCGACCCCAGGCCTGCGGACAGGCCGCTCCCGGCCCCGCCGCCTCCGGATGCGGCGCTGAGGGCCGTCGCCATGGAGACGGCAGCGGCCCCGGCCCCGGGCTGGG